TTAAATTTTCAATCTAATTATGATACTTTCGTCTTTATTTATGTATGGGTTTTTCTATGATTTAGCAATCAACTGAATTTTCCTTTAAGATTTATTATATGTATAGTAACAATCGTTTTCACTCAGGTTTCTTATTTGAAAATTATTAGTATCTGGCATAGACAACTAATTCAAGATACATAGCACTCCTTGCATCTCTGTCTAATGGGCCGAGTTTAACTACCACGTGACTTTCTCATTGATCATTCAGGTCACGTGGTCGATAAACTTGGAACATTATAAAGAGATGCAGGGACTGCTTTGCGTCAGTTTTCTTTGTCACACTAGGAGAACGGGCTAGTATTACAATGATCAGTCTATCTTGTGATGAAAATCAACAAATCATGAAAAATGACGAATATAGAGAAAAACGATTTCCTATCTCTTATTAAACATTAGTAATTGAGAATATTATGGAACTAACATTTGCGTTTGCTGACCATTGACAAAAAACATAATCGTGTCATCAAAAACATGATCGTGTGACCACTTCTCAGTGGTGTTTGGACATTATGAAGCGCAAGAGGACTTTTAGCGTCGATTGGTAACCTTTGATCAAACTTGGATCAACTACTATATACCAGAGAACAGAATAAACGCAGAATAGTGGACTGAATGCATCAAAAGTACTTCAAAATGGACAAGAGTGGCTCAATGTGTCGGAAAGGTTATGTACACTGTATTTTGGGATTGTGAAGGCATACATTTGTAAAGGCAGCGATTCTTTTGACGTCGTCTGTTCATCGTATAGCACATCTACCTCTGCTTCTTCTGTCAGCTTTTTGCCCGTCATTCATTTTAGCCACATGGCCTGCCCAGTTCTATTTCAGCCATGCTATAATGGCCACGCTCTATGATATCTGTAAAGCCTGTCCTTCTTCTTATGGCTTCGTTTCTAACTCTGTCACGTCTTTATACTATCTACTCTTTCATTGTTGTAGTATGAATTAAGAAAAGTGTTTAGACACCGTAAGTCATGACTGGAAGCACATATTGGTCGAACGTCTTCTTTTTCAAATAATTTGGCCTGTTGCTCTTGAAGATGTCTGATAGAGCTCCATATGCGGCCCATGCTAAATTGATTCTTCTTTGCAGTTCAGCAGTTTGGTTGTTCCTAGCAATTTGGATTTCATCACCTAAGTAATTCACCAATTTATATTTATGAACTAATCCTATTTCGTTGCATTTTGGATTTTCGCTTGATACCAGGTTTGTCATGTATTGTGTCTTTCCAAAATTTATGTTCAAACTAATTTCGTTGCAGGTGTCATCTAACTCAGTAAGCCTAGTTCCAATATATTTATATTTATTATCTATTATTATAAAAATGTCTTCCGCAAATCGTAGGTAGACGAATATTTCGCCATTGGCATTGATTCCTTTGGCTTCCCACTTCAATTTTTTTAAAACATGTTCCAGAACTTTCGTAAAGATTATGGAATATAACGTGTCACTTTGATTGCGTCCTCTTTTGACTTTTATACATTTTGCATCTTTGTGTATTCTTCCTGTCATAATTCATGGCTGCATTATTTTATATATTCGAGATCAGTTTGGATTACCAATAGTCTATGCAACTTTCCTCTAAAGCTCTCATTACGCTGTTAATTTCTATCGTAACGAATGCTTTGAAGGATTTTCCTATAATCCCTTTTATGCAGTGAGAGTGGTTGTTGACGCCAAAGTTTTGCCTAAAACCTGTCTGTTTCCTAGGTTAATAAAAATCTAATTTTGTTTCCAGGCTATTTGTTATTATTCTTGTAAATAGCTTGTAGAGGTTTAACATGTTTATGTATCGATGATTCTCGAGGTTTGTGGATCGCTCTTTTTGTGTAATAAAATGGTTAGTGCACTGTGCCATCTTGTAGGTGTTTTACTTTGGTGCAGACATAAGTTGAACAATTTCTTTGTATTCTCTAAAAGTATGTCTCCTTCCATCTTTTAGCTCTCCTCCCAGCCGGCGCTTAATTTCTTTTCATTTTCTTCAGTGCGTTCCTTATTTCGTCTGTTGATATATCAGGCATCAATTCCGATCCTTGGTTGGCTAATCGTTTTCCTGGGTTTTTTAACTTTTCTGTTACTTGCTTATCATTGTTTTGATAACTTCTGCATAATACTGTATAGAAATCTTCTACAACCCTTAGTAATTCATCTCTGTTGGTAATATTTCCATCTTTATCCTTTAATTTTAGAACTTATTTTCAATCGTTTGTTACATTTGTTCACTTTTATGCTTTCGGTTGTGGTTGTCCATTCTTATAGATTTTTGTATTCTTTTACTTATGTCTCTAAGTTTATGATGTTCTTTCCATCTATTACTTTGTATTTTTCTCCTCTCTTCCATTAATGTTTGTGTATGGGGACTTATTCTTTCGTTATATGATTTATTTTGTCAGTGTATCTCTGGCTTTCTTCTATAGCTTGTATTATAATGTCATTCACGGTGTTGATATTTGTACCCGTATTCTTATTGCTTTCGAGAATGCTGTTGATGTGTTCTTCAAATGAATTTATATTATTATGCTCTGTCCAGGTATGTGTCGATTTGATTTTGATTATACGACATCGCTCTATCATTATCGTGCAACCTATTCTGTCCACTGCTGGACATGGTCTCTCTCATTTTTCGCCACTCTTCGCGGTTCTGTGCGTCTTGTTGCCATTTCTTGGATAATCTTTTACTGTCGTCCATCCAGCGTGTAGGTGGTCGTTCTCTGCTACGCTTGTCTTCTCTTGGGCACCAGTCAATTAGTTTTCTCATCCATCTTGAGTCTTTTAGTCTCGCTATTAGGTTTCTCTATAACAAGGTCTATTTCTATCAACATCAAAGTTTTGGTTTAAGAATATCAGAGATTAGACCGGGATACGGAGAATAGGACAATTGTTTTCCAGAGAGAGTCTTTTCATGTTAATCGCTAACGTCAAGGGACTTAATAAGACAGATTAAGAAGATTTAAAATACCACCTTTGTTCAGTGGAAACAAGTTTAGAAGCTGCAAGCAAATTTTCGTTTAGCAAATTTTATAACTTAAATAAAACTTTAACCAAGGAATGAAATCTATTGATAAAATATTTTTAGTTTTAATGCTGAAAATTTCTGATTTCCGAACATTGATATTGGTATTTTTTATAATTTAAATATTGCTAGTGACAAAAATATATAAAAATGACAAAATGAAATGAAAATCTATAGAAAATATAAAATCAAAATTTTTAAGAAAATTAAATATTTTCAATAGTGGTTCTAAAAAATTTGTTTAGTATTTAATCACTACAAAATCATAATTTACCTTAGTATAAGTATAAAGAAATAGTTAGTATAAAGAAATAAAACTATATAAGATAGATGAGAATACTTTTAAAGTTAAAAAAAATCAACTTAAGCAATATAGAAATCGTAATGTAGTGAGCACAAATTTTTCGGAATGTTGAAAAAAGGCGAAAATTTTAAAAATTTCAAATTTAGATTGGAAAAAAGCCAAATTTGCCCCCCTTACCATTTATTTACAGTAGTGGGAGTTTCATATGCAGCATCCTTCTTATATTTCCAAGAAAAGTATTTATTTATTCTAAAAAAACCGTAACTTTGATACAAGCTTCAATCATAAATTAAATTTCTAAGAATATTATCTGATAGATAAATACATAATTTAAAAATAAAAAATAAATTAACAATGGACGATTAAAAAACTCATCATTAGTCAGCTAATTAAGATCAATATTGTGTTTTGAATCTACACTTTATATGCCAATACTTTGTATTTCTGAGAACCATTTGCAAGATGGAAATAAAAAAAAATTAATTAAAAAGTAGAGTGCAGCTCATTAATTACATACAATATTTAACTATCATAGTATACGAGTAAATGTGTTTTTCTAGTTTTCATGGAATATGAAATAAATACTTCCTATTTTATAATTTTTCCCCACATAATTTTTTGGACTGACTCCGAATCCGCCACCAGTTATTGTACTTGTTACACTTTTGGCTGCTCTTATATTCGGATGGATAAATTTTGTAAAAAGTTGAAAAATTAGAGTAGTGTAGTTCATTAAAATAGGAGTATAAAGCAACTATGTATAATATAAATAAAAATGTTACGATCGAAAAAAACTATATAGGAGTTCTGATTACACGTAGCATAGAAAAATGTTGATTAATTCCAACAAATATATCCAATATGAGTCGCAAACTGGAGTTCGAAACTAGTATTAACTAAACACAAAAAAGGATATCTACCAAGGATGAAGGTGGTTGTAAGTAAGCAATATACTAATATATATTTCAACATTAATAATGAACATAAACTAACTAATGCCAAAAAATCGAACAAATTGAGACCTGGCCTTACAGAGCATGCTACATATCCTATAAGATTGCTGCAGAATAATTAATACAACATAATTCGAAAAGTAGGTCAAATTGCAGAACATTATGGAACCTACAACTTCTGCAAAAAGCACCACAAATCCACTACTTATTAATATATATATATATATATATATATATATATATATATATATATATATATATATATATATATGTATATATATATATATATACATACATTAATCGGTAATGAACTTAGTAGGTTTTTGCAGTATAGTAAAAGTAGTTGGACCACGAAAAAGGAATTACTTTCCTCTTACAAAATTTTATCTAGCACTGAATCAACACATTTTTGTATTATAAAATTTACGTATTTTGCCCAGAATCCGAAGCAAATCCGATCTGCCAAACCGAATCTGGAGAAACACACTTCAAGCTTTGTTATATAAATAGACAACTCTCAAAGTCAGTGGTTACATAAAACGTCGTAACGGTTAAAAAAAGATTTCCTCTTCGAAATAAATATTCCTCACTATTTTCTTATCACATATACTTACGAAAATTATGTTAAAAACTTAAAAACTACACTGTAAAATCACTTTTTTGTAAAAAAAAAGAGTTAGGTACTAACCTAAGTAGAGCGTTAGTGAGTCGAAATCTGCGACTGACGATGTTCGGCACTGACTGCGTTCCCAGAGTGCGTTGATAGCGTCGTAAGGCGTCTCTGGCCGCCAAGGCTATACCGAGAGATGCCTACGTCACAGTGTGATGGGGGCGCCGTGTGGTACCCCCTGTAAACGTTACTTGTCGATGCCATTCAAGGCAGATTTTCTGTTTTTTGGAAGCTTACTTTCTTTTGGCAAGGATCCGGAATGAGTATTTTCGTATGTTGATTACCTATTTTGATATTACAAGTAAACATTTGCTGGGACTATTACAGAAATTAGTCAAAAGGAAAAAAATTATTCAAACTCTCATAAACAGCCTAATTATAAATAAGTATATGGGTATTGATAAACTTGGTTGTAAATCAAAAAACAAACAGCGGTGTGGTAATTTGCATAGCCACGAAGAAACGGCGATAAACTATTCCATTAGTAAACTTATCATGACAAATACACCAAAAAGTAAGACCATCAAGTATACATAAAAACAAAAACAAGTATAAATTATTCCATTAACTCTTCCTAGTAAACTCATCGTGATAAATGCACCAAAAAGTAAGACTCTCAATCACTCACAGACTTTCAATAGTCAGAGGATGACTATTGAAAATAAATAGACAAAAGTACAAATGAATCAGTTATATGTTCTTTTATCAGAGAAAATATTTAATCTGCAGCTGGAAATATCAAAAATAAAAATGGATATGATACAAGTATATGCACCTACATAACGCCTACAAATTAATTCTAATGTGATAGAAAAAATATATTTAAATATCATAAAATATGTATATATATATATATATATATATATATATATATATATATATATATATTCCAATCCTGCAATAGCAACATTCTGACCAACTTTTAAAAGAACACGAAATTCCAGAACAGTTGCATAGATATTTCTAAAATAAGACATCAAGAGAATCAAAAACTGAAAACATAAAAGATGAATTACTTGCAGCACAAAAAATAATACAAAAGAAGAAAACATAAGCAATCAATGGTACAAAATTAAAAACATAATATTAAAAATTCGCAATTCACAAGAGAATTAAAACATAGTCACCTTATTAAAAAAGAAATAAAGAAGAAGGACGACAGAAGAAATATTTCAAATGGTAAATGGTTAGTAAACAAACCAAACATCATTCCCATCAGAAGAACAGTTCTTAGTATTCATATAATTGAGTTTATTTCCTAACCCAAAAGCATCCCCATCTCTTGTAACCGCATCAATAAGATTCTTGAGTCCCTCTTAACTGCTACCTAGTATAACAGTATTGTCTGAGTGTCTAAAAAGGGTATTTCAAAATATAAAATAACATTAGATACTCAGAGAATACTGTTAGACTAGCTAGCAGTTAAAAAAGAACTAAAAATCTTATTGATGCGGTAAGAAGAGGTGGGCAAGCCTTTGGGTTAGGAAACAAACTCAATGATGTAAATACTGATATCAAAATTTAAAATAAATAAAACAGATAAAAAGTTCAAGCATATAGGATGTTGGAAAACGAATGATGACGCATTTGTTGATAAACCCCACTTCTTTTTTTTTGCAGATTTGGAATCCTTATAAAAAAAAATAAGTAACTTTTATAAGAAACTTTTTTTAATTGTTAATAGATGGCGATAACTATAATTGGCAAAAAAAAACTATTTACCATGATATCCTAGGAAAATTATGAAAGCAGTCTAAGATCTCATAGTACAAAATCCCACTATGTGGGATATGGGTGCACAAATGTGTTTTAAATGCTCACACAACTGACACTTCAATAACCGTAGCGGTGCGCGCTAGCTGACTTTTACTTTATCTTTGACACCTTGAGTTTTTAACAGCTAGCAACCCTAATTTGCGACCCTTTTTTCTCAGTAATAAACCCTATGTGTTTTGGTTCTATTGGTTCCCTTACCTTCGTTCTTTGACCTTTTATAAAGCGCCACATTTTCTTTTGCAGACCGTAAAAATCATGTTCCGTTTTTTTCGAAAAGCCTTCTAAGTGATCATTTTTTCTTACAAGTGTATGTGTTACGTTTCTAATTGTCTTAAACTTCGCCTTGTTTATTGTTAATAGAAAGTCCTAAACTTCGCCCTAAATTGTTTAGAGTTCTTCGCCTTAAAAACGATCTATTTTTATTTATATTTCTTTCACCAAGAACTTCTTTGGCCGATTCTAAGATATTAGACTTAATTCTCGTCTAGCTTTCTTCAAATCCATCACCTTCTGAGATATATGTGTTTCTGCTTTTTTCGGTTATTCTTTTTTGAAATAGGTGTCTTGTAGAGTCATCCTATAAGCTTTTGACGTTTATCTTTGTCGTGTATTCTGGTGTTTTGTTAAAAAAATTAATTACTATTAATTGAATTAAAAATATTTGCGACCACTTTTTGACTGGCAACCTATATTTAAATGTATTCTCCTAATTTTAAATGTATGTAAAAATGTGAGTTTGATTAATTAAGTTATCGTAGTGATCTTGCATTGGGATATGCTTAGACTATCCTCCACACCCCCCTCCCCCGTGGGTGGAGCGGGAGACAACTTTGAAATCTTAAATAGAAATACATATTTTTATTGCAGATTAGGATTCTACGTGAAAAAGTAAGCAAGTTTAATCTGAATTTTTTTCGATTCGCGATAGATGGCACTGTAATCACAGAAAAATATATACAGATCAGCAGTCTGCAAAATAATCTTTATGGTACTGAATACAGTTTTTGAAGGAAATGTTTGTAGGATCAGAATCTGCAATAAAAAAATGAGGATTTCTATTTAAGATTCAAAAGTTCAAGGGAGTCTTTAACCAAACCAGCAATATCTTGCAATATCTAGCCAAAAATAAAAAATACAGACAAATAGAAATACAGTAAAATACATCTACAAATAGAAAGAAAGGTGTGGAAGCCATAGATAGTTGGTTGATGGTGTAGCACAATCTAAAGACTACAAGAAAAGTCAAAGAAATCAGTGATCAGACAACAGAAGAAAGGCTATAGTGGAAGCAAAGAAAAACTGAAACAAAAACTAAAAGAGGGGAAGTCAGACAAAGTTATAAAGATTGCATGAAAGAAACATGACATTTTTTCAAACTTAAAAAATATATTTTATAGATGGCGTCTTTTCTAATGCAGTGATATTTTTCAAACAACTACCGCCATCTCTATGTCAGCACGGGTACTTCTGGGTTCACCGAAGTACTTGAGAGATCACAGATCAAATCACAGAATATGGATAAGGTCATTCCTCACTGATAGTAGATATCGAAATAACATTACAGTTGTATAACAAGATTACCGAAAAACTTCAAAACACTACAAAATAAAAACAATACAACTACTCCAAGGACAATGAATAAAAGAACTCTACAAACAGTGCCAGGACCAAAAACTAATCGAATTGAAATCTAACATCGCAGAACATGCGATCATATGAAAAAAATTATACAAGAAGAAGCATGTGAGCGCGGACGGAGATGAAAGAAGATCCGGTGACAACAGATAAATAAAAAAATGGAGCCCAATAAGAAGAAGGAAGAAAAGTCTAGAAGATTCTAAAGAAACGAAGTAAACGAATTTATGTTAAATCCAGATACGAGATACAGGAAATTTAATGTCATTGTCTTGTTTCATTGTACATATATTTTATGACTTTTCTTCCAAAAATAAATATAAGTAAACAAAAAACGAAAGAAAAATATTACTTTTACCATTTTTTTCTAAATTTAAATAATAGAAAAAAATCGTAGTAAAACATATTTTGACAAACATTCGTTAATGTTAACCATTAGTCTTGATTACAACTTATACACCTTTAGATACAAAAATATCCTTGTTATAATAATTATTGTTGGCATCGTTCTGAGTAATTGTGTGACAAAACCATTGAAATTCAATGGCGGTGGTATTTTAAATGGGATCTTGCAAGAATGTTCCAAAAATAACTGAGTTGTCCCATTTTCGAGGAAGGCCGTACTCTTATTATTGAAAAACGAATTTTTAAGATTTACAACCGTACAACTGTCAAGGATATTGCTTTTTTATGGCAACCATGACACAGCTGATAATTTATCTGGTTTCGCGGATCGATTTAGTATCTTATTGTAAAATATATGATATAAAAAACGATATACTTAGCTCAACCTATCATTATTATAAATATTGGATAAGACGATTTTACACAACTTAAAAATGTCTTCTTGGGATCTTCTATACCGTCAGACGTCTATCTTTTGCGGCAAGTAAAAGCTTGCCAGTGTTATTTATGCCTGTCTAGTTCTCTATAGTTCGTAGCCATGACATTTGTTTGCGATATACTCCTCTCTTGCCCTCAATATTTTTTTTTGGATAATTAATTGAGGGATTGCGCATTTTTTTTTTTCGCTTAGTATATGGCCGGATATCCTATATACAGTACAAGCGTTAAAAAATTGGCTAAATTGAAATTCAGTTCCGTTTTTAAATATGTAAAATATAGATATTCTATTAATATCTGAATGCCATACCACACAAAGAACGGTTATTAAATACCTTACTATACTGTGTATTATGCAAACCATCCAGACGAAGGAGCACATGCAGGTTCTACCGTTATTATTAAATCAAACATTAAATACTATGCAGTCCAATCTTATATTACGAAAAAAATTTAAGCCGCAATCATTACAATCGAAACAAACACCTTCCTCAGTGTATCATCAGTCTACAGCCCACCTCAATTTCAAGCGAAGAGTATCATGATTTCATACAAACACTTGGATCCAAATTCATAGTAGCAGCAACAAAATAACTTAAAGATACTTATCTAAGGGAGAACCCACACACTGATCTACGGATGCCAACAAAATTCCAGATTTGGTAGATTTTGCTGTAACAAAAGGGATATCAGACATCCATAGTGCAATAGAGTCAAACTTCGATTTAATATCAGATCACAGTACAATAATAATAATTTTAAGTACACACATAATATGGAGAACACCACCACCCAAACTCACAACTTAAGAAACAAACTGGGATGTTTTCCAAAATTCTGTACATACAAAACTTATATTAAATATTAGGATAAAAGAAAACCAAGATG